TAAGACTTGGACGTCATCGTTTGAACATTCGGTGATCATCCTTGTTCGTGTTCGTCTTGAGTTCCCGAAGGTCTCGGCTACGCGCCTTGCCTCAAGATCTCTCGACTCAACTGTTTTGTGTCTGGTTTTGCACCAAACACTAGTTGTTTTGCTTCTGAGGGTGGGAAGTAGCTTGTAGGCCATCCCCACACCTCATTGGCCATGGCTTGAGGCCACCGGCCTTGTTTCCTTGCCACCGGCCATTGGTGATGGCCAGTCGGCACTATTGATGGTCGGTCGGCATTGTGTTTGGTCGGCCGGCCACTATTTTTGATCAATCGGCCACTTGTCCTGACCGAGACCTTTTCTTGAGGAAGCTTGACCTTTTTGAACCTTTTTTTACCTTTTTTTAGCTTCTCCAAGAAGCTTGACCCTTTTTTAGCTTCTTCAAGAAGCTTGAACCTTTTGACCTTTTTTTTAGCTTCTCCAAGAAGCTTGAACCTCTTGACCCTTTTTTTTTAGCTTCTCCAAGAAGCTTGCCCTTTTTTAGCTTCTCCAAGAAGCTTGATCCTTTTTTTTGCTTCTCCAAGAAGCTTGACCCTTTTTAGCTTCTCCAAGAAGCTTGCCCCTTTCGACCCTTTGTCTAGTTTCTCCAAGAAGCTTGACCCTTTTTAGCTTCTCCAAGAAGCTTGACCTTTTTTTTAGCTTCTTGAAGAAGCTTGAACCTCTTGACCCCTTTGCCTAGCTTCTCCAAGAAGCTTGGCCCTTTTGCTCCAAGCTTCTAAGAGAAGCTTGGCCTTTTTGGTCAAAGCTTCTAAGAGAAGCTTTGCCCCATTGGTTTCTCTATATAAAGAGAGCCTCTCCTCCCCTTCATTTGTACTTCAATTCCAAGTTGAATACGTGTTAGTTGTATCATCATCATATGCCATCTTAGAATAGCCGAGCCTGTCTAGATTGCATCTTTGCATGTGTTGCACGTGTATAACATAAAAAGTTCTTTCTTTTGTTTTTTTGTGTTTAAGATACTTCATTAAGGCCACTTTTGTGTTTGGGGTCGTTTACCCCCTCTTAGGCCTTGTTTGGCCCCATTTTGTGCTATTTTTGGTGAGCTCCGGGACCACCTTGTTTGGGCCTCCTCACCACTGAAATCTTGAGGGATTTCAGTGGTGAGGATGGTGGTTTGAGGTCCTAAGAAGGAGAGGGGTGACCCTCTCCCTTGTTGCCTTGTTTTTTGCCCTTTTCGGCCTTCCAAAGGGGCTCCTATTTGCATGCTTCCAAGCCTTGTTTCAAGCATTTTTCAGTGGGTTTTAGGACCCCCATAAGCCATTTCCAGAGTTCGTTTGGTCATGTTGAATGTCCTTATTGCATGTGTAGAGTAACCCTCTTGTTGGCCTTTCAAAGGAACACCCCATTCTAGCATGTGTGGACCTTGTTTCCATGGGTTTTTGGGGCTTATTTGACATGCCATGTTACTGTTTTTTCTTGGTTTAATGGTCCCTTGCATGCACCTTACACTTGCCTTGGATTCCTTTATTTTGCCTAGAAAGGCATCTTGCATTTGGACCACCATGCTTGCATGTTTTGGCTTAGCTTTGTGAAGTTTTTAGTCATGTTTTAACATGTTTAAGTTCTGTTTGGTGTCGTTTTGGTCATGCTTACCATGCTTTGTATAGCCTCTTTGCATTCTAGCTTGTTAGCCTTGGGTGTGTGGGTCACTAGCATGCTTTACTTGGCTTGTTCTGATGATTTGGCATCATTGAAGACCATATTTCAGTCCGTGTTCCATGCTTGCATACTTGCATTTTCCATACCTTTCATGCTTTGGAGAGTTGATGGCTTATGCTCCATGTTTAGGCCTTTGTGAATGCATGCTTGTGTGTGTGTTTTCATGCCTTTGTTGCATCATTATGGCCACTGATTTTGGCATGCTTGCGAGCTATCCATGTTAGTTTAAGTCCATCATCGCATGTTGTTGTATGCCATGTATGCTTACATGTTTAGGTTGTGTGCCTATTGCATATTAGATGCATTGCATAATCATGTTGCGTTAGCCCTGCTTGCATGCTTAGGTTGCATTACATTGTGCATGCATCCCTTGCCTCTTGATCAAGCATGATAGAGGTTGGGGCCTTTGATGTGTTTTGTGTGTGCATTTCATTTGATATCGAAGTTGCTAACTTGGCCTCTTAGGCCATCATGCTGATAGAGGTTGGGCTTTATGTGTTTAATTGGTTTGCATGTCATTTGAAATCAAAATGCACAACTTGGTTTCTTGGGCCATCACGCATTGAAATGCGCGATTGGTGGTCCGAGGGTCAAGCACCATCCTTCTTTAAGTCATAAACATGATAAGGAGTGTGGTTAGTGGAAACATTGCTTGAAATGCATTGCCATGCCATGTTTTGCCCTCTGCTGCTGTCAAAACAGATTCTGCAGGAAGATTTGGCCGACCGGCCATCCATTCGTGGCCGATATCTCAATCAGAGGCCGGTGGTCATTCTCCATGGCCGGTGGCAAATCCCCTTAGCCGATGATGTTCCGAGGCATTCAGAGAAGCAACCCTGGGACTTGTGCAGTCTTCAGAGGAGGATAACAGTCAAAGTGGAGGCAACTTGCGCATGGCTGTGACTTTCCGAGCGGAATCACGCATACATTGCATGGGGCCCTCTTCCCAAGGCTGTTTGCTATTTTCCTAGATTAGTTAATTTGCTTAACTAGTTAACGGACTGTAATAATTAGTTAGCTCGTAGTTAATTAATTGTATTATTCTTTTGGTCCCTCCGAGCGAGGGCGAATTTGTAATAAGTGTGGGTGCGTGTGTGCATGTCTTCCAATCCCCACTTCTTTCTCCCTTTTACTTACCTGCTTTCGATGGTTAGTGTTACTTCCTCCTTTTGGTGTAGTAGTGTGTGTTTGTTCTCACTATTGTACACAAACACCTACTATTACACCTTTCCTTAGTAGCTGAGGTCCTTGGAAGCTATTCTTGAAGTTCTTGGCTGGTTTTGAGCTAAAGGAGGCAGCTGGAGCATTGTTTGTGAAGAGGGTCAACAAGGATAAGAACTTACTCCTTTTTACCCCATTTTTGCATAGCTTTTTAACTTATCTTGAAACTATTTTTAAGCTTCGGGTATAACATATAAAAGTTCTATTTTTACTTGCTTAAAATAGTTGTTTAAGAGTGTTTTGGCATTTGGGGTCGTTTGACCCCTCTTAGGGCTTGTTAGGCCTTTGTTTTGTGCCATTTTGGTTGAGCTCCGGGACCATTGCGTTTGGGCCTCCTCACCACTGAAATCTTGAGAGATTTCAGAGGTGAGGATGGTGTCTTGAGGTCCTAGGAAGGAGAGGGCCACCCCCTCTCCTTATTGTCCTCAAAAAGGGCCATTTTTGCCTCATGTGTGAGCACCAAGTTTAGGTTCATGTTGACCATGCCTTAGCTGTTATTTGGTAGTATTTTGCCATGTATTAGCTCTATTTTCAGTTGGTTTAGACACACCATGCATGCTTTGCATACTTGTCTTGTAATGCCATGAAATTGCCGTAACTTGCTTTGTGCTTTGAGCCTTGTTTTTAGCATGATTTCGGCTTAGCTTTGTGAAGCTTTTATGCATGTTTTAGTATGCTTGAGGTCTGACTTTGGTTATTTGGGTCGTCCATGATTTGCTTTGTATAGCTACCATGCAATCTCCCTTATAGGTCTTGAGTGTTGGCCTCTCTAGCATGCTCTCCTTGCTTCATTTCAGTGGTTTGGCACCACTTATCATGTCATTTCAGTCCATATGGTATGCTTGTATGCTTGCATTTGATACTCCTTTAATGCTTTAAAAGGTTGATTTCTTATGCTCCATGTTTGGACCATTATGTATGCTTCCATGTGTAAGCCATTTAGATGCCATCTAAGTGTGTTTTGGGCCTTGTCTCGACC